GGGGGGGACGACACACGACAGATGCGCCCGCTCGCATGCACGCACTCACGCGCGCTCTCGGAGTACAGCTCGCGTATACGATTCTGACGTGACGCGACGCGCCACGCCGCCAGTTGCGTGTTCTATTGCCGCGCGCAAACGACAAACGGAAGCTAAAAACCGAACGTGGATGCGCGCGCGCGACAGACCGAGCGCACACACACACACACACACGAGGCCACCACGCTCCACCGACGCTCCACAGCCGTGCCTCAACTGCGCCCGCTCGTGCGTGCGTGCGTGCGTCAAAACCGGTTCACGGTGAACGGCTGATCTGTCATTCGGCCGTTAAATCGAAGAAAAGAGCCGGGTGAAACGCACTGCCGTAGCGGCTGTTTTTCCTCCCCGAATCCGATTCCTCGGGACGTGCACCCTCGCGTTTATTCCCGTTTGCGGTTTAACTCGCTCTGCTCGCGTATATAGCAGCGCTACCGGCGAGTGAACGGCGACGGGCGAAAACAGCGGAGTGGAACCGATCTCTTCGACGAGTTCGAACCGGCTGTCGGATCGACTCCTGTGAAGAGATGATGAGATGAGGTACGCAAGGTATATATGTTACTTGAACGGCTACTCGTCGCGTAATGTCTGCCTGTATATCGGTTCGACGCCTCGTCGGCTGTCCTCGAGGCGGTCGCGGCGTGGATATTCTTGGACGACGAATGTATATATTAAAGTCAACTTCGAAAGCTCTCCACCACTGCCGCCACCACACCGATGTGTCCGTCGCTGCTTCAACGCGACAATACCTCGGATAGAACGCGAGTCGCCGCGTCGCGCTCTTTCGTTGCCTGGCAACCATTAAATAATTGCCGCGCTCAAGTGACCGACGGAGTCCCTGGCGCCATCCGTTAATGAGTATCGTAACGAAATTGTGAGCCTATATCGTTGCAGAAAATTTTCATTTTACGAAAAGCTACGAGAGAATGAACGGCGTAATCGAAACGGTTAATAAATGCACCGACGGAGATACTATTAAAAACCGACATCCTTACGGGAATTTAAGCGAACTTAAACTGTCTCTGTTTCTCTTTCGGCTTTAATGCGAGATAGAGTTTTAAGCAAGTAATGTTGGTACAACCGAGCCTAAAGTGATTAACAGAGATGATAATTGTAGAGAAAAAAATTGTAATATATTAATGCATACTTATTTACGGAGCATTTATGTAATAACAAATCATGAATTGAATAATGTACGAGCTATTTGCGTTAATATGTAATTGCAAATTTATATCAATTGTCGATAATGTCAGCATTTTTACCTTTAAGCCCTTGGAGCTCTTTTTCGATAATAATACCAATACCTACAAGTGAATAATCAAAGGAAGAAGAAGAGAAACATTTTGCGCCTTTGCGATTAAAAGGTAAAAGGCCTTTGTCTACGAGGACCTGGGCCAACATAGGAGAAGTAAAAGGCTCTTATGTACTCTTTTTCTCAGGTTACTCTCTGATTGATCAGTCATAAATATCCTAACGAAATGGCGAGTTCGAGTAGCAGGATCGTTGTCCTCATCGACATGGACTGCTTCTTTTGTCAAGTCGAAACCAGGTTGCAACCGCAATACGAAGGAATGCCTCTTGCTGTTGTTCAGTACAATCAATGGGAGATGGGCGGGTAAGGAAAATTCATTAATTTGATCCGACCACTTGCGCTAACTGTTTTTTAGGTTAAGCTTTTTTCAAGATGATTATTTTAAATATTCCTCCTACCCCACTCTAAAATCTCAATAAAAATATTCGGCGCATATTTAATCAAAACAAAAGAATCTGGAAAAAAAAACTCGACGGTCGGTCTTGTGAATCGAATTATCGAGCGTTATAGATTCGAGACTTTAGAGGTTAAGATATCTGTTATTATTTATGTATACATATATACTTTGATTTCAATTAATTAATGTTGAACATGTTAACCAGATAGCACAGACTTGTTTTATAAGATGAAGATTTATTTATATTGTGAAAAATATATAAATACATGTACATATATATTTTCCATAAATATAAATAATCTTTATATTTTAAAAATAAATTTTTTTATGTTTTACGTTGTGGTCATATATCCAACGTCAATTAATTCCTAAAAATAAATACTTCAATCACGTCAATTTTCTTTTTTACAAACACAAATTCACTGTTTTAAAAATCAAATTCACTGCTAATGTAGAGAATTTGTTTGTTCAAAAACAGTGAATTTTGTTTTTAAAACAATAGATTGTTTTAAAAGCAGAGGATTTGTTTTAAAGCAGAGAATAGCTTGTTATTTAAAATGTATTTTGGTTTTTTATATGGATTAAAGTTTACCAATGTTTTTTTTTAAATAGACAATGTAATTATAAACATGACTTTATCGCTATTGTCTAAATTCCTATAAATTTTGAAAATTGTTACAATTGTTTTATAATGTATTATTTAATAATTAATTCATTATAATTAAAATTAATGATATATTACCTTATATATAATTTTTATATATATATATATATAAATGAAGAGTAAATCTTGCGTTTTCAATTTTTTATATATGCTTCTTTAAATGTAAAAGACTAAATATCATGTCAAAATTCTTCTAATATTGTATTTATATATATATATATATATACACGCAAAATTTATAAAAATTATTTGTTTATAGTCGATTAAATTATGATCCCAGAACACTTTGTATAAATTGTGACCACAATTTTACATCTTTAACAACATTTTGACAGTCAAGGATTTTTATTTATTTTCTTTATTGAATATCTCATTGTAAGATTATTATGATCAAATAGAATCACAGTCTATAAATTATCCTGTCTTCATCATAAAAAATTTACCACAGCTCCATTGAAAAGACTTGCCAATTTTTTTATATGAAAGCATTATTTATTGATTTTAGGACTAGATATGATTATATTAGTAATATTTATTGGTTGGCTGCAGGATAATAGCTGTTAATTATGAAGCACGAAGTCTTGGAGTAACCAGACATATGAGAGGCAAAGAAGCTAAAGAGAAGTGTCCAGATATAGTTCTAGTCAGTGTACCATGCCTTCGTGGAAAAGCAGATACATCTAGGTAATAGTTTGCATTTAGAATAAATCTGTATGAACATAATATGTTAATTATTTGTATTTCATAACTTAATTTATTTGTTTGATATTTTTTCTTTTTTTTGATGTCGAGTTCTTCTGAAAATCTTAATATATGTATAATAAAAAATTATTAGGTACATGAATTTAATGAATTTAATAATTTGTATTATACAGATATAGAAAAGCTGGTCACGAGGTTATCAAAGTTATAAAAAAGCATTGTAATGTAATAGAGCGTGCTAGTGTTGATGAAGCATATCTTGACATTACGGATATTGTTGATAAGAGATTAACTGAATCCAAAATTTCTCCAAAACAACTAATAGCATTTCTTAGAAATACATATGTCGTAGGATATTCGGAAATTGGTAAAAATGATGAAGGTAAAAGTTACTTCTGACACTTAAAGTGAATGATTTGGATGTTGCATGTATCAAACAAATGCATTATGGTTTTATAGAGGAAAGGTGTCAAGGTCTACAAACTTGGATATTGGATTCTTTTAGAGAACTGCATGATGTTCAAGCTCAGAGACTTGCCGTAGCTGGTATAATAGTTGAAGAGATAAGAGATAGTATATGTAAAGAAACTAGTTTCAAATGTTCTGCTGGAATTGCACATAACAAAGCTAATATCTTTTTTATATTCTCTATTTTACTATGTGCCATATTTTAATGATTTGCATATTAATCACATATTCTGATTAACTTACAGATATTGGCAAAACTAGCATGTGGATTACATAAACCGAATCGCCAAACAATTTTGCCTGAAGCAGCTGTTTCAAGCTTGTATTCGACGCTTCCAGTGAAAAAGGTGCGAAATCTCGGTGGAAAATTCGGTGATGTTGTGGTAGAGTCTCTTGGTTGTAAAGTTATGGGAGATCTGTTACAATATTCTTTGGAACAATTAAAAAAACACTTTGACGAAAAGACAGGGTAAATGTAAAATTGTTTTTTGTATGAGCGAAGTTTCAACGATAATAACTTATGATTTGTCATTTCTAATATAATTCTCATAATTTTAATTCTTCAGATTTTGGCTGTATAATATTGCTCGAGGTATAGATGATGAGCCTGTTACCAATAGACTATTGGCAAAGTCTATCGGAGCGTGTAAAAAATTTCCTGGGAAGCAAGCTATTACTTCATTAGAAGTGGTAAAATTATCAAAATATGATTTTTAATATTATATAAAGAATTAAAAAATTTGATGTTGGATTGCACGAAAAAGGTATATATTTCATGTTTAGTTGAAGCATTGGGCCGGAGATCTGGCAGCGGAAGTGTGCGAACGGCTTGAAGAGGATTTTGTGGAGAATCAACGACGTGCCACACTGCTCGTAATCTCTTACCATTATTATCACAATAGAAGCACTGTATCTCAAACGCGCTCACTTACCTTGAACTCGTACAAACCGGAGAAAATGGCGAATCAATGCGTGGACGTTATCACTAAGTCCACACAGTGCCCGGTGGCATTCATGGGCATTTCTGTTACTAAATTTGTATCATCAAAAGAAAGCGGTAGCTTCTTGAAATTTTTTAAAAATACCAAATCGAAAGACGAGGAGAAAATCATTTTAAATTCACATAGAGATACAAGTTTGATGTCCAATTCAGAAGCAGAAGAAAAGACTCCTTTCAATAGCAAAGAAGTTTATTTATTAGAAAGTAAAGGACAGATCTCAGAGACAGAGTCTCAGAAAGTCAAAGAATTAATCGCAAAGACTAATGAAGGAACAATGAAGGAAAACAAGAGAGTCAATAACTTAAATACAAGCGCAGAGGATTCACCTACGTCAAAAAGAGTTTCCAAACTAATCCAAGTGTGCAATGAGCGCGACAAGATCAAAACAGAGAACAAACGTCTATCAGGTATGGTAATAAATAATAATGATTTTCAAGATTCCTTTTTTATGAACATATATAAAACAGAGGAGAAAAAATGTTATAATAATGTTGACGAAAGTGCCAATACTATGAAAGAATCAAAATGCAGAAAACAATTGATTGTGTCTGATGTGTGTGAAAAAAACATGAATGATGAGAATATCAATGATTACAATACAGATTTACATGGACAAGTAAATGTTTATGAAAAACCTGTCACAAGGCATGTAAATAGCAACAATGAAGAGTCTACAGAGGAGAATACCAAAAGAACTTCTGCACAAGATTCTTTGATACGATTACAAGATATATTTCCAGACTTGGACAATATGGATTCAGACATCCTGTCTCTGTTGCCAATCAATTTACAGGAGGAAGCAAAATTGTATATAAAATCGCGAGATAAGAAACAAGAAAACGTTAAGATTGTTCGGGAGTTGCCGAAGACAGAAAGAAGACCCAGCAAGGCAAAACTTAGAGGCAAGAGCGACAAAAAGCGCAGTCCCCTATACAATTTCCTGATTAAGACCAACTCGGACGAGCATAATGTGCCTTTAGAACGGTGTGTTGAGTGCAATCAAATGATACCTATAACAAAGTTTAGCGAACATATGGATTTCCACGTCGCGCAAAACTTGTACCAGGAGATTAATAAGCCGACATCAAGTGAGAATGGAAACGTGAAAAGAAAACTTGAGGATGATGAAGTTAACATTTTCACAAAGCGTCAAACATCAAATGTTTGTTAACCTAACAGGGATTCTCGATCGGCAACTACGTTTCTTTCGAAACCGTGCTTGTGAATCCAATGTTTTACGATATTTTATCGCTAATAATATCATTCTGATAATTTATTTGTATCAATCGCGATCGCACTGTGTCTCCAGAAAAAAATTGTAAGCTAAATATTGTATATTTGTATATATCATATAACATGTAAAAATGTACAATGTAGTTTAAAGACAGAAAATCTATTATATAATTAGTTAACACAGAAATTTTTGAGACTAACAGAAAGAACCAGGTGACGATATCGGAGATTTTTATGCGTTTTTTTACAGGCTGTTCTTGGGCGAAAAAAAAAAAAACAAACCGTGTCCGGCTGTTTCAGCCATTGGCCCATAGTTTCGAAGAAATCGATTTTTTAAATTATTGTAATAATTTGAAGTGATATGGTTTCAACGTTTGATAACTCGATGAAAAAAATCGTACAACGTTCATTAAAAAAATTAATTTAACGTAAAGATTCGCTCTTTCGATTGCTGTAAACTGCATTTTTATATAATTTTTACCTCACGCCATAGACCTTTGTAAAGTTTGTGCATCAGATTTAACAGATATTCATTTGTGTCCGTATAATACCTATTTCACACTAGACGCGATGAGCGATAACCAATAAAAACTCTGCTTTACATCGTCGTATGAGCAAAAACAAAGTTTTTATTGAATATCGCTCGTCGTTCATCGCCCATCGCATCCAGTGTGAACTAGGCATAACTCCGTAAAAGATCAGTCATATTGAAATTTCAATTATACAGATTTCGTGAGTAAAGATTTCAATCTTTAAAACGCTTTTTTAATTTTTTGTCTGCAATGATTTTTCATCGAGTTACAGTGTTTTGAATATTTCCAATTTTTAGTGTGTCCGAATTTTAAAGTGTTCCCTATTTTTTGTTGAATTGTATATATTTTATCACAATTGAAAAATGAAATAAATTTATTATTTCTTTAACAAATCATTGTAATGTATTCATTATATCGAAATTAATTATAGCAATTTATATAATAAGTATATTTCAAATATTTAAATAAACAACTGGACGAGTCGGAAATATAAAACAAAGAAATATTTAAAAAATTATAAACATGATATTGTAAATAACAGACGTAATTTATATAATATATTTCAAATAAATTAATATTAAATAGGCAATTATTTTGAGTAATAATTTATTAATTTTTATTTGTGATCAAAAGTCGCTCGAACATCGTGCGGCATTTGGACCTCGCACGGTGAAGTGAGGGGGACAGCGGAAGGCGGAGGTGATTCCAAAATTTTACATTTATTTAATAATTTTGTTTTGTAATACACGATTGCGTTAACGAATAAAAAATAAATATGTTATTCTAAAATCGACGTGTTAATATTAGACGGTTAGTGAAAGCAGCCTTGGGGATTGTTTTGACGTGGAAGGGCAGACGCGAGTCGCACATCCCCCCCCTCACCCGGCTCACCGTTAAACCGAACAATCATTTAAATACATATTAAAAATACATATATATATTTGATATATATTTTTAAAAAATTATTTTAAATACTACCGACTGTTGACTAGTATAACGTATATTTAAAACTCGCAGTACTATCACGAGTTAAATTGTAATATACGTATATCTGTATAAAATTATAAATAGTAATACATATCATACATGTTATGATATAGAAATGTTTTGATGCTTATTATATGTCTATAATGCGATAATGTAGATAAAAATTAACATTGATACAATCAGTATTAATAATCAGTAATAATAAGAAGACATATATCAGTAATAATAATTTCACCAATGTAATATTTTTTTTATCTCGGTTAACTGTTCATCTTTTTATAATTCTTCGAATTATTAAAGATTATAGTTAATATTATAGTTAATATTGGAGATTACACCCAGGTAGCAAGTTGCTTGTAAGTTGCTGTCAGATTGCTTAAAATTGCTTTGCTGTAGTTGTTTTCAATATTGAGGAAAGAGGCTTCCGATTTTGCCTAGTGGATTGCCAATTTTTATTGCCACCAACAGTTATGAGCAATTTGATGGCAACAGTTGCCCTCTTACAAACCGATCATGTAATCTAAATTATTGGAAATCACAGGACAATATAACGGAAACAATTTCTGTGTAAGTTAAGTTGCCAGTAATCTGGTGACATTTTAAAGGTGATATTTTTTCGAGATAATCATCAGTTGTAAAGTTTTCAAATGAACACCCTGTATATATAAATTAATAATCGCATATGTCATATATATAATATATACACATATATATATTGTTCAGTTTTTGTGAATTTGGCCGTTAACGCCCGGCTGAATTACAGCAGCGTAAGGCCCCACGCGCTTTCCCGAAATGCTCGGTATCGGGAAGCGTGGTCGAGACAACGCGTCTCTACAGTTTCGCCAATTACGAAGCCACTTTATGTCGTAGCAGCCGTTGTTGCGGCGGTGAAGCAGTTGTAACAAAGGTTTCACGTAATAAAACTCACTTGCTGCATTTCGAGACTTTATTCGATAGCTCACAACAATAAGCATCCGATCTGCGATGCGACCGCGCCAAATTGGCCAAATCTGAATCGTAACGAACGAGCCGACGAACGAACAAAAACGATGATGCCCGAAAGCCGCCAACCGCTAACATATCAAACAATTATTATCTGCCTATTACATATACTTCCATTCAATTAACGGAAATGGGTACTAAATATTCTACAAAAATGATTTCCAACAAACTGTGACAACTTTTATGGCAATAAGTATGCTACAAAATCTTCCTTCATTTGCGCAAGCAACTGTTGTCCGCATAATGCTTTTAGGTTGCCCTAAACGAAATTACTATTTTCTTGATAATAGCAATATGATGACAATTAAAAGGAAACTTGTGCTAAGCTCCTATTTCTGTTATAATGCAAAAGAACGATTTGTTATCTGGGCAGTTAACATTGGTGGAACCGGGCCTAAGTTAATATACAAATCTAACAATAAATCATGATTATTGATTAGAATTACAATTATAATTACAATTAGGTTACGTTCCGTTATTCACTGCAAGTACTACAAACATATAATTCAAGTTACATACCATATACTATACATTTTCGCAGTGAACATAGAAACAGCTTTAGTACATTATATACAAAAATTAGATATGTATAATAGGAATTTAATTTTTATTTACCTGTAATGTCTTGCAAAAGTTAGAAGGAAGACTATATTTTTGTTTTAAATCTGTTAATAATATGCCTAAGGTGTTCAATTTATTTTTTGAATATGAAAGTTGATTTCGCAAACGTTTTATAATGATATCTTTTTTTCTTGTCACTTCTTTTAACATTTTAACGACTTTTATTAGTTTATCTCGAGACATATTTTCTATTATGGCATCTGTTAAGTCTCCAACATATCTGATCTTCTCAATTTTAGTAGCTTGAGACACAATGCATTCCATAATTTGCATATTGGAAGAGAACCCAACTTCTTCGCTGCAATGATGACTTGCTGGTGTTTCTTCAATATTTTTTTGTAGCTCATTTAAATTAATTTTACAAGCTTTATTGCATTTCGATGAATTATTGAAATCTTGATTAGTTAGTTCGTTTATTTGACATTTTTCAATTTCTTTTTTAGGATTCAATTCTTTTTCGTTGTCAGGATCAAAATTGTCTGCATTTTTAGAAATTTCTCTGTCTTCACTGTAAAAATATTTAATTAATAAACAATTTTATTTAGAAAAGCTCTTCAAATTTTATATAATATTAAGCATGAAAAATATATTGCCTTCTATAATAAAATTGTTCCTTCAAAAAAATTTTTCTGTTTAATAAGTTTTTATCTATATAGTTCTAATACAAATGTATGAAAATGTATTATTAAATGACAAAAATGTTTTTCCTGAATATGTCATATTTATCACGTTTTAAGCCTTATTCCTTTACTAAAAGATACACATGATAGTTTATATTTACTGCACGTATGTAATACTCTATTAATGTTAAGAAGAAAATAATGAAAACAGTAAACGACTCATTATTTTGAGTTATGAGTAATGACATTGAGTAACTTTTTTTTAGAAAAAGACAAAGTAACTTTATGATTTTGTTACCCTTGCTTATTATAAATATTTTTTATTATATTTTACCTTTCTGCATTCGGAAATATATTTGGAACAGCATTCTTTCTTAAACGAACGGTTTGTAATCCATTTTTTTCAGTTTGTTCTTTTGAGAAATGTTTTAAGCAGATTTTACTGTGCTTAGATGGTTTTGTACTTTGCTTATTTAAAACAAGTAATGCGTTCATCCATTTTTCTTTTATTTTTATATTATTGGGAAATCTGGAAAAATATAAATAAAAGGTTATTTTCTACAATAACTAAATATATATATGTATGTCTATTTAAGGTTAATTGTAAACGTACCCATACATAGGCACAACACATTTATGTTTCTCGGATTTCTTTTTATATTTGCTTGAAGTGCAGCCTTCGACGAAGCAATATGCAACCATTTCGACCTTTGACTTATATAGTCAAAGATTTCGACAAGTTTTCTGGCCTAGTTTCTTGGGTGTAAACGGATTAGTTTCGATCGATTTCAATCCTCCTTTCTCAGCGGAGTAGAGCGAAACCGGTGTAAACATTCCATAAATCCACTTCAAACCTGAAAGCGGCCATGGCGGCCTTTTTCCTGTAATGCTTAAGCGGGGAGCACAGACTTTTGCATAACGCATAAAGCATGTGCATAAGGAATTTCATTGGTCCATTTTCTTATGCATGAGTCAATGGACCAATCAAATTCTTTATGTATATGGTTTATGCGTTATGCAAAAGTCTGTGCTCCCCGCTTAATGCTGTAAGCACACAGCCAAGATATTTTATGTGTATATATGACAATTTCGATTGCATTGTGCCGACGTGCTGTGTCATCAATTATAGAAATAAGAGTGGTCGCGACAAAGAGAAAATAAATATGTTTTCTTTCCCCCAAAAGCTGGAACTGAGGAAGCAGTTTAGCAGTGGCTGGAAGCCTGTAAACAAACACATACTTCAAAACACGTTCAGTCTGAATATTATTGATTATAAAAAACATTATATTTCCTAAATTTTTGATTCTAATGAAGATCATTGTATTACATATAAGTTTTTAATATTATATTTACTTGGTATTTATTTTGTCTTGGAAAAGATTCTTTAATAATTATGAGAAGAAATAGGAAAGGAAAAGTCAAGGAACTTTTTCACAATCAGGAAATGTCAAAGAATTTTCTCCGTCCAAATCCGTAGACACCCTGTTTTTCCTGGAAAATGTATTATTGAGGTTCGATTGTTCCATCTTTTGGTAATGTTTACCTGTTAAGCCTTGTGTCCACGATGCTAGAAATCGGTCCGAGATCTCGGATGAAGAAAGAATTAACAAATCACATTTGAACAATTTGGTCACATGACCAATGTAATTGGTCAATTTTTCCTTTATCCTAGATCTCGGACCGATTTTTAGTATCGTGGACACAAGGCTTTAGGTAAGTAGCAAGATTGTCCAATCACGTGCGCGGATTGCCAGATTTATCTAGAGACTTAAGAAAACAGAGATGCGTCATTGAAGGGTATGGCTTGATTGGCTGTCTAAATCACGTGATCAGAGAGCCATTTTAATTCACTATTGCATCTAATAGATATAGTTTTATAACGTATGTACATATATATAGAGAAAAATTTAGACGATACAGTGTCGAAGTGCAATAAAAAAACTATTATTATGGTGTAAGTATTCTTATTTGTGTGAATATTTAATATCGGACTTAACCTAACCTAATCTAATCTTTCTACCTTTTGGATCAACTGTCATCAGCTTATTGGTCAAGAGCACTTATATTGAATTAAAATGGCGGTAGTTACCTAACCCAACCGATGCAATGTCGCATCTCTGTTTTCTAGGCCTCTAGATTTACCTAACAGGTAAACTTTACCGAAAGATGGAACAATCGGTCCTTAATAAAACAAGTTCTTTACAAGTTTCCTTATATGTAAACCTTTTTTCCTCAAAAGGTACTTTTTCATACGCAGCACGCTGCAGCAGCAATTCGTTACTATTGGTTAAGAATTTTATGTAAACTTGATGACGTACTTGCGGCGCAAATACATTTTGCCGCAGTTCGTTGAAGTTGAACCGAACGAACAGCAAGCAGCAAGCGGCAAAATCGAGAAAGCGTACAATATGTCCGTCGTTTCATTATAAAAATATTATTTATTGCAATAAATATTAGGAAAATAAACGAAAAATGGCTTCGGATAAGGTACGGATACATGTTTGTAAATTAGATCATTTTATACTTTACCACAAATTTGAAAAAGTAAAGTGTAAAGTATAAAATGATCTAATTTACAAACATTCGTACCTTATCCGAAGCCATTCTTCGTTAATTTTCCTAATATTTATTGCAATAAATAATATTGCCTCGATTTTGCCGCTTGCTGTTCGTTCGGTTCAACTTCAACGAACTGCGGCAAAATGTATTTTGCGCCGGAAGTGCGTCATCTAGCTTACATAAAATTCTTAACCAATAGTAACGAATTGCTGCTGCAGCGTGCTGCGCATGAAAAAGCACCTAAATGCATAAGATAAGAAAGATAATTCAGGGAATATAATGTTATTTATAGAGATATTTTTTCTTCATGTTTATTTTACTTTTATGAGCTTCGTAACTCGCGCCGGACGAATTGCCCAATCTCTGATTGGTTGAGATCTCGGGTCTCCGCGCATTGGTTCACCTTGTTATTTCCACCATGGATCAGTCGTTGTCGTTAACACGTGCTCGACTCGCATGACGAGATTGTTTCGATTTTGTGGTTAACATCGTTTAGAAAGACGAGGCTTATGATGGCAAAATTAGGTAAAACGTTACTGAAAGTCTCACATAGTGAATCGCGAAATAACAGGAAATAATCATACATTTAATCTATCTTGCGCAGCAATCAGCAAAAAAGTCAAATAGTTAATTTATACGATGTAAATACTATTAACGCCAAGACTGTCGTGTCTCCTGATATTTCTTGTTGGTATCTGATTATGGAATATTTAACTTGGCGTGAAACAGAAAAAAGATATATTTTAATTTTAAACTCTTATATTAATCATATATATGCTTTCTTAAAATAATAGTCTGTATCTATGTGTAAATACCAAATATATTTTACATTTTTGTTTTAGAACATAATGGCATGTCAAGTGATAGCGACAGTGGGGATGATTGGGAAGAAAATGGTGAGGATTACCATGACATTTTGTGTTTGTTTTGTATGGAAAGTATTAACGGATTTCCCTCTGCATTGAGCCATATTGAGATCTTTCACAAGTTCGACTTCTGTGATTTTATAAAGAAACATATTCATGACACTTATTCATATATCAAATTAATCAATTTTATTCGTCGCAAGGACATTTTACCAGAACTACTGAGTACACTAGATGTAGAGGCTTGGGAGAAAGACGAGTATCTATGTCCTGTAGTGGAAGATGATCCATGGTTAATGTATGGCAAGTGTATAAAGAATTAAGACTATTATATTATTGATGGCATTATGTTTTTCAAAATTTATAATTCTGGGCTTTGCATTCATGTCTATTGCTTTCCTTTTTATTTATGGAAATAAAGAAAGATATACTGACACACTTGAGCTCAGAATTACAAATATTATATTATGTATATTACGCCCTAAGTTATAAATTTTATTATTTAATATAATATAGATATTGAAGATCTCATCCAAATTAAGAATGTGAGTGAAGAAAGAGACATAAAACAGATGCAAAGTGACAATAGCGTGACTTTATCAAAGACACAGTATGAAGATATGCAAAAAATTATCAGATCACTTAAATCTCAGCTAAAGGAAAGTGAGACAACATGTTTTCTACTAAAGCAGGTATAGCTAATAATCATTATACATATTTCAATATGTGGCATAATATAATGAAAAAATTGCTTTTTCAGCAAATGGAGGAGATGAAAGAAAAGGCTCAGAAATTAATACTGGGTGATGATTTAGACGAAAAAGAACAGAATGTTCCAGTTAACGCTCATAATTCTAATGTTGATGAAGGCTATTTCAATACATACAGTCACTTTGCTATACATCACGAAATGTTGAATGTAAGTTCTGTAATAGTACAAGCAAGAAGACTAGAAACCAGGAGAGTCAACTAGCATGGTGAAGGTAAGTTAAAAAACGTCCGCGGTTATTCACACAATGCACAGTGGCATTGCACATTATGTGAAAGAAACAAGGAAACAAGAGGCTTGTTCTTTTTACCTGCACTGTTTGCACTGTGGGCACAGTGCAGAGAAAAAGAACAGGCCTAAGGTTTGTTTGACATGTGCAGTCACGAATTGAAAACGACTATATAGACAGAGCGACAGAGAGGACTAACGAAGCGCAAGAGTGGCGGAAGTTATCCGTCACTTTTTGCCTCATCTGCTCTAACGCTATTGGCACCGAGTTGACTCTCCTGGTTTCTAGTCTTCTTGAGTACAAGATATCTTCAGGATATTGACTACATTTATGAAGGTCTAGGGATATATGTATTCATTTCTGATTGAGGCTACATTTCTTCAATTTTTTAAAATTAATATTTATTTCACATTTTACCTTTGACGACTCAACATCGATTAAATTCATTTTGCACTTCCATGTAAGTTATAATTCTATGGATATTCTCTTTTATCTTTTTCTTTATTTATATGTATTTAATTACTTTTAACCAGTTACAATTTTTGCTCATTAATTATTAATTTCTTTATTTTTTTGTTTCGTCAGTAAACTGTGTAATTAATGGAATCTGCAGGGCCGTATCTGGGTATAAAGTCGCCTGCGTGTAAGCTTGGTACTAGGCACCTCTCCCCCTCATATTACATAAAGTAAAGGAATACAATATAATAATTAATAATAGACTGCTTATAATTTAATAAAAAAGAAAAAATTTAAATTTGACTAATATGGAGACGCGATAATCGAAGTGCAAATATTTGTAGAAAGAGTTTTTAATATATATTTTTAAAAATGTTTATTAAATATATTATATTTAATAAACACATGATATGTAATTACATAGACATTTGGACATTTCGGTTATTGTTTTTAGCCATCCTCAAGGAGGATTGCTCTGATTATCCACTGATTCAAAATTATTGAATATAATCCACTAATCTGAGCTTTAATATGGAGTTTTTAAAATAAGAAACACAAACACTAGTGTACACTATTAGTCTAGTGTATTATTGGGAGTACAAATTAGTTCGGTCCATTTAATATATATTAATTGTAAGGCGCCTTGGCAACTTATGATTTTGGCACCCTCATAAAAAAGGACCTACGTGTGATACACGCATTGCCCGCCCGGTAGCTACGGCTCTGGGAATCTGACAATAATTATATGCTTTTCAAATTCTCGACAATCATGTGAGTTTTTTTATCATGCTACGTTATCATTATTTAAACATTTGTATTAATTTTTAATTTTTTATAAAAATTTGACACAATCACACTATATATTTCAGTAAATTTTGCACCTCAATATGATCGTGATTTGATTACAATTGGACAACACCATATAGTTATTAGTTTTTTTTGTATTGTACACAGTTTTGACACTCTTTACTCCATTGAAATTTTTTTAAGATTATAGTGTAATTTACGCATTGAAAACGACCTGGATTAAGGTCGAAACGTATACAATTTTTATATAACTAAATAAATTTCATTACACACTGTCAACCTGTGTTGGCTCTCAACGGCAATTTATTTTACTATTTGATTTATTCATAGGAGCCTCTTTCATATATTTTTATTAACTAATAATATTTAGTTACGAAAAAGTGATAGAAATACATTTTGTTAGGATAAAACACGAACAGAGAGCTATCGTGATGCATTATTAACAAATTCTAACAAGTTCCATGATTGTATAATGTTGGACGTTGGTTGCGGAACTGGTATTCTGTCGATGTTTGCGGCAAAATCTGGTTGCAGTAAAGTTATTAGTGTCGATCAGTCTGATGTGATATATCATGCTATGGATATTGTAAGGTATATTTAAATATATATAATAAATTGTATTGAAAGATTATGCAAGTTAGATAGCTCCTATTTTCATTTAGATTCCATATAAGGAAAATTATAATAATAAAATATATTGATTGATTTCAGAGAGAACAATCTCAGCGATATAATTACTTTAAAAAGAGGTCGTCTGGAAGATATTAGTATAGGGGTAGACAAAGTGGATGCAATAATATCCGAGTGGATGGGATATTTTCTCTTGTTTGAAGGAATGCTGGATACAGTTATTTATGCTAGGGACCATTATTTGACGCCTGGTGGAACAATTCTTCCAAACAGATGTACAATTAGTATTGTGGGAAGTAGTGACACAAGTATGTATTACAGTGTAATTGTTACTACAGTGTTACAAGATATATATCATGATGAGATCTCGTATTTGAAAAATAATAGATGTTGTTTCTGTGTAGAGAGATATATTGAGTTGGTTGATTATTGGTCAAATGTATATGGTTTTAAAATGAGCTGTATGAAAGCGGAAGCATTGCGTGAACCCAGTATAGAGATCTGTAATGTTGATCACTTAATAACGAGCATCGCCGAGATCCAAGCCTTTGACTTATACAAAGTCACTACGGATTGCATCAATTTTTCGTCTCCTTTCACATTGAATGTGAAGAAAACAGGATCATTAACCGCAATAATCGGTTATTTCGACATTTTCTTTGATCTCGACAATCCGATTCATTTCAGTACAGGTCCCTGTTCTACTCCGACACATTGGAAACAAACGGTATTTTCTTTAAGCGAACCCATTAGTATAACTGAAGGTAAGATATATGTTTATTTACTATAATTATAAATTAATATGTAGTTAGTATTATAATTATAATATTTTGCTCTGAATGTCGTTTTAAAATATCATTTAAAATAAAATTTTATAATTGTAATATTAATGTACTATTATATAATTTAATTATATATTATATTTTATTATAATTGCATTGTTTTATTTGAAATAACGTTTTAATATCTATATTTATTTTTCTTCGAGATACGTATCTTCAAAATAAGATCAAGTGAGACATTATCTTCTCACATCTTTGAAAAATTTTCAGAATTAAAAATTTATGTTTATACAAAAGTTTCAAAGTAGCGTGATTTAAATTCGATTCAAATACTCTTCTTAAATAAAATAATTAATCATTTTTTCGATTGTTGATAAGATAGATAATTACTTTATCTAGAGTACTGTGAAATATTTGAATCGAATTTTATTCGTGTAATCTCATTATATTATAATTTTCTAGGAAAATATGTTGCCTTAATAATTTTTTTTATTCTTTGAGAATATTCAGAAGCGTATATTCAAATTGTCATTTAATTTTTTATTATTTTATGTTATTAATTTTTTATTATCTTATGTTATTAATTTTTTTTAGAATGAAAGATAAGTTAATGTAAATACAAATGACATTTTAAAGTATATTTTGAAACGATATAATAATATAATTTGCAATTATATATATATATATATATGTTATAATTAAAATATAATATCTGTATATTTATTTTATAGGTGAAGTTATAAACGGCACATTAGTCTGCCGAAGACACTGTAACATCCGAGGCTTAATGGTCATTATTCATATCAAAAATTTCTCTCAGACGTATTTTCTGGATTAAACGTTGAATATGCCAAGATACTAATAGTCGCATGTGCCAACAGAAAGCTATCGCATTATAATGTTCTGATTTTCATTGAACGTTCTTTTTCACGAATATTCGCTTAAACTTGATCTCTCTTACCATTTCCAATTTGAATCTATAATATATAAAATCTGTAGTGTCCATTTATACTTAAGGGGATCTTAAAGACGATTAATCGTATCGCACATATCCACATAAATTTTTATATTACAATAACGTTTTAATTGGACTTCCAAGTTCAATTCTAAGAATTCCACATTGTTTCTTCATACAAACTACTAATCTGCGAACAGCTACTATTTCATTAGTATAAATTGCACAGCTTCTTAGAACCAGGGTTGGGTAAGTTAATGTTTTTTTTTAACTAAATATAGTTAAAGTTAATGGCTTTACAAAATTAATAAAGTTAAGTTAAAAGTTGAAGGAATAAAAAATTAACGTAAGTTAAGTCAATATTGAATTAACTCAAGTTGAAAGAAAAGTTAATTTCGAAAAAAATTATTTTTTAGATTAAAATGTCCTAATTTTTAATATAAAAGAAATCATGATTCGTTATCTAAAAATAAATAAATGATGTCAAGGGCGATATGAGTCAAAAAAATATTTGTTCAAACAATAAGACATTTAATTATAGTCACTACTTAATTTAGACATCCTTAATGTTTTTTAATGTCTGAGGAGGGCTCAATCCGAGAGCCGAAACTTGTAATGACACATTTATATTTGTTATCTATTTTTTATTTATTATCTTATTTAATTATTTAAAAGCGAATTATTGTTAAGCAATGTCTAAATTAAGTAGTAACTAATATTTGACTGTAATTAGTCAATTTCTTATGACTTAAGGTTTAAAACACTTATTGTAGATCCGGACTAAGGTTTATAACATAAGGCACAACCGCATAAGCCAATTAGAGGGCCGTATTATAGCATCTTAAGAAATTACTTAAGATTTTAAAATATGAAATATTTTCTTAAAATATGAACAGAATATACGCTCTTAGAATCCATAGACGTTACTCAAGATTTGAGATGGTATTAAACTAGTGCATGAACCAATCAGAGAGTCGTGTATTAGCATCTTAAGACATTCCTTGAGATTTAGATTATGTTCGGACCATGGATTCCGGTCTTAGTCTTATTATATCTTATTATTTTTCTAAGATATTTAAAAGACAAAACAATTTTTTAACTTTAAAAAAAAGTTATAAAGTTAACGTTTAAAAGTAACTTAGTTAAGTTAAAATTTAATGCGTTTAAAATTAACTAAGTTAAGTTAAAAGTTATTAACTTTTTAACTTTTTTTAACTTTTAACGTTTTAACTAGTTACTACCCAACCCTGCTTAGAACATATACATATACATGACAGCGAAATTGCCTATATTATCCATGTACCAAACGTGAAGTCAACATCTATGTGAGAGAGAAAGTTATAACATCCCAGAGGTAAAATGTAATTGTTATACAAAAATTATGTGTTTAATCGGTAATACAGCAAACTGCTTTGGGATCCCTTTAAATCGGAAATCTAACTTATGTGCTTTGGAACTCTAGATCTTCATTTTTATGCTGAAACTATACATACATACACATTAATATTTATATATAAAATATATATTAATACACATAGTAATATTAATATATATATTTATATGTATAATACTTTTTCTCTCTTTCGCAAGTGATATATAAAATTTTCTTAAATATTTGTGATAATTACAGAATAATTATTGATCCAATAGCTATTTACATTTGTGCCTTTTTAATGATAGCTATTCGTATACACAGAGTGTTCTGGAAATCGCGATATAACCGAGAAAACAGTGATTTTTCATGTAAAAGTAAAAAATATAAAATTATCGTAGAGTTCTGTTTTCGGGGGGGGGGGGAACCCGAAAACTTTGAATATTTATGAAATGCGCATATAACTCTATAAAACAACCTACTTTTAATTCATTTTATCTGACTATTTAGCGTTATTTTTGTCAGTTTGAAAATTTGCAATAATTTAAAATAATACAGTAAATTTTAAATTAAAACATCACCTCACACGTCTTCGAAAAATGGATAAATGAGTGTAATTTCTACAAAAATAATAAAAATAAAATGTTCAAAATAGTATTTTGTAGAAATTACAAACATCGTTTCCTTTTCAATTGTACTACGATTTTCGGAATACTTTGTATTATATAGCTAAACCGCAGTTATAAACTTATAAAATCAATTTTAAGAATTTTTGCATGAAGAATAGAGTTTTAATCTTATAGTCATTATACATCACTCTGGCTGCACGAGCGTGTATAACGCTTAACGCTAGAGATGAAAGAGAAGAAAATTGAAGAAAAGAGATAAAAAAACGTCTCCGCGGAGTTTATAATTAGTACACAGACAACGACGCGTAGAATTTGCCTGAGTTCAACTTTTTATGCAATTGTTCTAAGAAATTATTGGCGAACCATTTGACGAAAACTTTTTCAAAGAAGTTTTCATGTTGCTTCCGCTAGAATTTTTCTCTAAATAGAGTTCGTTAATATCTCGTTGACGTAATGATGTCGTCGACAGATATAACACTTCGATATTAATATTGCGCGAATTCTCCTGCCACTTTTCGTGTGTACAAGAGTACGCATCGAATTATTGAATAACCTACAGATCGTTCTTGCTCTACCGAATTTAAATTGTAACCAAACGACTAATACGATTCTGTGATACGACAAAAAACTAGCTTAGTGTTCATCGACAAAGCGACGCACCAATATCTGTTGCAGTCGCCCAGAGAGCACAAAGTCGTCTAAAAGATGACTAAATTGTTATAAAAGTATTTTACAATTAGTGAAAAAATATAGTCGACGAAAAAATGGCTAAAAGTCGACGGATGTTGATAGTCATCTTTATAACCTTGTCAATATGATAACTAAAAGATAATTTTTGCGAAATTTTGACTAGTTTTAGATATCTTTCAGTCCTCTTTCAAATTTGTTTAAGATATCTTTACAGCCGTCTTTAATATTTTCTTTTAGATATCTTTTAGTTATCTTATAATTATATATTTTATAGAATTAGGTTTAAGCATATGAGCAATTAATTATGGAAATTTATTCAAATATATATACAATTAACATTATTTTTTTATATGTAACATTATGTTATTCTATTCATTGTGTTTTTTATATGTAACATTATGTTATATCTTTAAATGTAACATGTTTTTTCACATATTTTTCATTGTCTCGCAATATTACAATACTTATAACTAGATACATATTCAACGAACGCTTATAACGATAACAATTAATAAACTTTATAAAGTTATAGGCTCCTATTCATAACGCGCTTTTACAATGTAATGCATGTTTAGCGTAGTACTTACGTTATATATCACAGAATTTCAGATATAAAAACACATTCTGAATACGGGCCTATAACTTTATATCTTTCTAATTATATAATTATACTTTACAAACGCGCTAATCACACATATGTATTATGTATAGCAATATGAAAGAAATTAGAATAAAATTAAAGTATAAACAAAACTCTCGGTGTCGAAACAATATAGAGGATAATACGAAACATAAAATTTAAATTTTTCTTTATATAAAAAATTCAGAGTATAATTAAATTTCGTATGCATACATTCATAACATGTTTCGACTCCTGGATTGAGCCTTCTTCAGATGTAATAAGATCCGTAGTATCGTCGTATACAAAATTAGAATAACTTAATTTATATGACTAAAATTACTAATAACTCTAAAATAAGGCCCTGTACACAAAGAAAGAAATAAATATTAAATATTGGAGAAAAAGGAATAAGGATTAGACCGTAATACATAATAAATACAAATAAGATATAAAATTAAATTTGAATATTCAGATATATGTATTTAATCTCTTAAAAATTTTAATTTAATATATTCCTGTTTGTAATATTTCTTTCTCCATTGTGCGCAGGGCCTAATTTTGAAATAATATTACAACTAATAATTGATAAAACGAACAATGGTGTTAGTTTTAAAATTGTGGTTTGATATTAAACAAAGCTTAATTGTATAAATCTGTCTGCGTTGCTGGCACTTTTTACTGCACGTAATAGTGATCTTTACACATACAATCTTAGCCATCGATTTTATTAAAAGACGTTCAAGATTGTAATCAAGTATGTACGTGTAAACAAGTACTCGTTCCAGAGTGTGTGTACAAGTTTGTGATTCAAATAAAATGACAGAATTAAGAGCGCGTGCAAGTCTGCGTGCATTAGGAACTGTGTGTAAAAGTGTTGAATTGTCTAAATTTGAAAAATTCCACGCACCAAGCAAGAACGTAGTAAAATACAGATTTTTACTTTTACACTACACTTTTGAACGTAATCAAATAAAATGCGCGTTAGAATGTGTGCATGTAAAGGTAACAACAATTTTTACCTTCGTACAAATCTGCACTCTCAAGAGTGTAATCTCTCATATGATCAATATTCTTAAATGACTCTCTCAACTGACTTTTTACGTTTCCTTCATTCTGTACTTCCGAAAAATTTTCAAGTTTAGAAAATTTTATATTCTTGCACCAGAGTATATGTAGATTTGTGTGTGCTCTTAATTCTGCTATTTTATGTACACAAATTTACAAGCATTCTTATTATTCGTACATTTAGAAACTTTTACCTTTGGAATGCGTACCTGTTTACACACACACTTAATTACAATTTTGAATGCTTAATAAAATCGACGGGTAAGATTGTTCGTATAAAGGCTACTATTGGTGTATTCTTTTAGATAATCCAATCACAGAGCTTCAGATGTAAAATCATCATTAACAATGAAAACTCATTCGACTGTTGAGTCTGCTAAACGCGCCTAATATTTTCGCTGATAACATCAGTTAACAAAAAACAATTACTGATTGATGGTTGTAAACCAGAGAGATTGGTTGTTTCTTTGAATAACCAGTTTCATTTTTAATCTCTCTCCAGAATCTGAAGAACCACTTGATTGCGGCGGACGCGCGTTT